CTATTAATTTAAAATAAATAAATAAATAAAACCACACACACACACATGTAAATGCATAAAATACTGATTTCCAATTATCCAAGATTGTAATAACCTATTACATATTAATAAAAACATTAATAAGAGTATTATGGAAAAATATCATACTTTAGAAGAACTTTTTTTCCAAATATTTTCATTTTTATATTCTTTAGAAAGAATAAGAGATTATTTTATGAAAATTATTTTATTAATAGATTTAAAATCACATTAAATGTTACATAATTTAACATACAGAAGAAGTTTAAAACATATAAAGTTTTAAGGTAAAAAAATGCAGGAAGTTTTACATTGTTAGTAAGTCTTATTTGAGAAGGCTTTATTTTAGAAACGGAAGAGTATCCTGGATGATACAAAACTGGTATTTTATGTGTTTGTGCATGTGTGGTTTTATTTATTTATTTCTTTTAAAATAACACTAATAAATAGTTTTTTAATACTTTAAAGTCATTTATATTGAAATGTGTAAAGTATTTAGTGTCTACTGCCATATACCCCATATAGAATAAAGTCAGGTGGTTATTGGGTATCTTTGCTGATACATAAAATTTCAACATATTTTTATATAAATACTGTAAAATTGCAAGATGATGCTGAGACTTCCAATTAAGTGACAAACAGGTTTCTTTATTTTGGCAAGTTGCTATTACATTATGTACTCAGAACATGTTGTACATCTATCATGCCATATCAATTTCACTTGCATCAAGTATAGAATTATATTTACCTATAATACTATACCAGTTTCCTTTTTGAAGAATGATATGTTTCTAACATGGCATATCAGTTTAATTTAAGATAACTGAGAAACCATTTTTAAGTGTAGGATAGTGTCTGAAATATATACATAATTAAAATGGTTCTTTTTTTTTTCTCAAATGCATGTTACAATTGACAAGTAATTTTTCTTAATTGGTTTTAATGGGAATAAATCTTGTATTAACATATTCTGCTAGTATAAGTAGCTTTTTGAAATCTTATCCATTATTTCCAGGTTTCAGTATTTCTCTTGGTAATGTTATAAGTGGGGTGTTACAACTCCTGACTTCATCATGTTTGAGGATGTTGTGGCCTACCTGTTGAACAAGTATCTAGGAAAATATGTCCAAAACTTAGACAGTGAAAACTTAAATGTTGGAATATTTAGTGGTAAGTTAAAAACAACCCTTTCTCACAATTAAATTTGGGATTGCTATTAGCAAAAATATTATTATTCCCTAAAGTTAACTGTAACTGTATTATAATTAATCACTTTATGTATTTAATGTCAATATATATACAGGTATATCTTACTCATATGTATAAATCTTCCGTGTCATATTTTTTTTGTCAAATATTTTGGAATATCAAAACTCATTTTAATTACATGCAACAGTATTTTCATTTTAATTATTCCACAAAAGTTAAAAGATGCTTGATTTGGGCAGAAACTGGTGCATCAGGGACACAAGTATTGGATTAATAAAGTCTACAGTATTCTGCTGCTGATGGCTACCCCATGTATAAAAATTAAGTTATTAAATTTACAGTTTAAACATTTAAAGCTGGTGAAGCATTAGAACCCAATAGATCTAACATTTGTGTTAATCGTGCACAATTTAAGTGTTATGAGGTAAAAACATCTGCAGTTTTAATGATCTCCATTTGATTATTATCTCTAATGAGCAACCACTTTAGCATAGTGTTCCTACCCACGTTATTGGCAAACTGTATTGCAGAAGCCAGATGGTGTAAGTCTAGCTGGCTTCCCACATGCTAATTGCTTTAACTACCGACCAAATGAATTGAAGCTACAGTCTTTGTTATCCCAATTTTCTGATACCTAGCCTGGGTATACCATGCATGCTCAAATGAGAATTGCAAAAGCAGCATGAAATTGTAATATGAAAGAAACTTGTTGATCACAATAATAGTAACATTCTGTACTCGGAATCTTGATAAATAAATTACTAAAATCTATATTTCATGGGTATATTGATGATAATTGACATTAAGAATATGTAAATATTCCTTCTGAAATGTGTGCTAGCAATTATTTTCTAAGTTTTACTAGCAAAACTGTAACATGAACCAGCAATTTGCTAGTTTGTTAGCATTAATTGACCGCCCTCTGCTCTCAGAAAATCTCTAAAAGAACCTGACATTGGGTATCCAAAAAGTTTTCTCCCAGTCAACATTAACATTTCTGCAGTTATATTTGTTTAAGCAAAACCATGTGTGAAGAATATTTCTCTTAAATGAATCCCTACTGTTTGCTTGCATTGTTTGTTACTGACTGTTATTAACCAGCTTTGTATTTATAACCCAAAATTTTACCATATCATAAAATACAAATTTCTTATTTGATTAGGTATGATCATGAGAAACACTGGGCAATAAAAATGCAATTTTCTCTGATACAAAAAAAAAAAAAAAATGCAACTGTTTCTGAGTAATTTGATGATGCTGATTCTAAAACACATTGAAAATGACTGATAACCTCTAGTTTTCGAGTAATAATAGATTTATTCAAAATATTCTTGTATATTGTGAAAATAACTTTTTTTAATAACTTTATTTATTCATTGAAAATTGCACTTAATAATGTTAAAAAAAACATAATACTAGTTAAAAAAAAGAAATGAGTATAATAAGATTATATACTGAAAATACGTGCAGGCTATGTTCAAAACTTTCATCATGATATTATTTTTTGTGACAGAATATCTACTTGAACTGTTGTGCCTTTTGTGTATGTTCTCAGTTTCACACTGTAAAAACCAACAGTAATCTTCATTGCATGATTCCATCATCCTTAGTATTCCTGTTCTATTGTACAAATATCTTAGTAGAAGGGCTCACCATGCTCATTGCACCTAGATCAATTTGAAAGAAGTCTAAATGAGAGTGTCAGAAGTTCATCTTTAGTGGCATCCTAGACCCCATTTTCCTGTAGTTCTCGAACATATTATCAATCATCACAGCATAGTTTTCATCTTTGTAATTTCCTAAAATATTTTTGACAACCAGATTGAATAATTTTCAGGCAGCAAGTTCTTTCTGATTGAGTACTGTTTCAGAATAATTATCCATTAGCACTTCCCGAATCTATGGCCCAACAAAAATACTTCCTTTCAGACACATATCTGAAACCATTACCATCTTTGTACATTAGTTTTACAAAAATTCTTCATGAGTCCTAGTATGATATGAAGTAGGGACAGAAACACATTTTGAGGATTCACTTAAGTTGATACCGAATATTCTGTTTCCTTGGTATGTAATCCTCTCCCACTGGCTATTTCTTTTTTTTGAAGTGATTTTTATCATCTTGGCTATCCCAGAGACATAAAATGCAACAGTGTTTGGTATACCCACTCTGCAAACCTAACAGGAGTGTAATAACATTTAAATCACCATATATATATATATATATATTTCATCTATTGTGATCATATTTGATGGCCTCAAGTATAATCAGCACGCTTTGATAAGTTTCTTTCATGTTCACAGCATGAGCAATAGGAATTGATAGTTTAGTGTTCCCAATGTACAAAAGTACAGCTTTGAGATTAACTTAAGATGAGTTGATAAAAAGTCTCCATTGTTGAGGATGATGTTTAGTACCTAATTTTTTTATTAGTGCAGAAATACAATGTATCTTGCATGCTGTAGTGAGAGCAAAACTTTGATGGCGGCTTCGATAGATTGAAATTTTTGTTCCTGGAGCTAATAAATTCCACTGCTGTAAATGAGAGTGAAGTTCCCAATGTTGCTTTGATAAAGACAAGTTACAACTTAGATCATTTAGCTCTTCTTTTGTGGTCAGATGAGGCAGATTATGTTGAGGGAACTGCAAGTAACATACTTGCTCTCTTCTTATTCAATCACTTTGTCAAGCCAGATCTGCAAACTCTACAACACACATGTGGAGCCCAATGTTTTTCTTGGTCACAATTTTACACACAAAATATTGGTAGTAAGCTACTTTTACCTTGTGTGGGATGTTTTTCCTTCATGAAACTGTAATATAATTTCCACAAATGTAGCAGAAACTGTTTTGGTGATTTTTGCACTTTTGGATTTGAACCAGAGGCAGCCAGCATTTCAAATGATTTTCTAAAAAAATATAAACACATTTATGTTTAAAGAACTGGAATTTAAAAGATTTTAAAAAACAGTTTTGCACAATTTGATTATATCATGGGTATGATGCAAGGAAAAAGATCAGGTTTTGTTTTGACTGTGAAGAAAGTGACCAACTAAGTGAGTGAGAGGCATCTGACTCTGCCCTCTTTTGTGCTCAGTCGAGGGACTTTTTGAATGTTCTAATAAACTGAGCACATAATGGTTTTATTATTCCTGGGTGGAGCAGGTTAGCGTGGGAATAAAGCAAAAGGGGTGCAATTTGCTACAACTATATGGAAAAGAAATAGCATATATGGATTTTTATATTAAAACAATACAGTTAATGTTTGAAGTTATCAAACAAGTATGCCTTTTACCCATTAAGCTGTCCAAGTAAACTTAATTTCACAGCATAAATCTAATGTACTGAGTTGATTGCATTGTATTTCATATAGTGCTGATAAAATATTGAGATATTACAATAACTTCAAATCTAGAGGTGATGGCCAAATTCTGACTACATTTTTGAAATCAGTACACTCGAATTACTTCAAATCACTTGAGTTTTCTGCAATAGCAAATTTTTTGTTGTCCAGTGAAGTTATTTAATGTTACATATTTTTACTATTGCATTCTTATTTTGTTTAGAGTATTTTGATCTATATGCTTCAACTATACGACTTCATCTAATAAAATTTAAATATATGTACTTGATTTATTTTATTTGTGTTTTTGTCACAGGCACAGTTCAATTAACTGACTTGCAATTAAAACCTGAAGCTTTGGTAAGTTTTTGAAGTAAATATTATTATTCATAAATGCTTTGTAATTTTTATTTAAACTGAAAATGAATATTTATAACATGATATTTGGAAAAAAATATAAAATTATAAACTTCAGCTATGTTGTATTCACTTACAATATAGCTCATTGGATTTATACCCTCCAGTGTATCTGAATAAAATGAGTGTATATCTTAACAAAATCACCAGTTTATGTATGTAAATTGTTATGCTCTTAAGTAAATATATTCAGGATTTCACTATAATATCCTGTACTGAATTTTTTTTTAATATTTTGACTACAAGAATACTGCACTTCAGTAAAATAGAAATAAACAGCATCATATATGTACAATAGCAATTTCTTAGACATAGAGCTGGATGTGTAATCTGAGACTTGTACATGTATTAGCATAAATTTTTAATATCTTAAATTTTAATATGCAATAATTTAATGATTACAGTAAATTAAACATTGTTGAAATTGTTTTACAAACAAACCTGAAATTTAGTCTAGTTCTATTCGAACTATAGTATTACTTTTTGTAGTTTCCAAACAGTTCATAAATGTTTTGCTAAACAAATAGATTGTTTCAAATTCTGATTAAGTTGGTTTTTAATTGAAAAAAAATCTTATTCATACTATTTATGTTTTTTTTTTTCCAGTATGAGTTAGATCTTCCAATAGAAGTGAAAGGAGGATGTATAGGTAAGTAAACAATGAAGACCTAGTTTTGCTGTTCACAGCAGATATACTGTGAAAGTATAAAAGCTGATGTCAAATACAGGGTGAGCCATTTGTATTTGACATATTTATTTTTGTAACACAACAAAGCTGAACCAAAGAAAGCATGTTTTTATTTTATTGTAGTGAAGTAACAAACGTGGAAGTTTAGTACAAAAGGTCTACTTCTTAAAAATTATGTCCATGAAATGCTGTCCATTACAATTGATGCTCTTCCTGCAATGAAATAGTACATTGTTCATTACTTTGCAGTGTGTAATTTTGTATAGCAGCATCTTCAAATTTCTGAACAATCTGGATTTTGTATGACTTTAGGTGAAGATTCTCACGGAGTATACATTTGACACTTGTTCTGCTAACACCACTTTCTGTTGAAAGGGGATGGGTTGACTTCTTAGAACTTGTCCAATTACTGCAGCTATTGCAACAATGTTTTCTTCTGTTCTCACTGTGGGATGTCTCACATTCTTGAATGGACAAACATTTCCCCTTTTCACAAAATTTTTTAACTAAAGGGAAAATATTGTTATGATACGGAGCATTTCTGTGTTGAAATTCTCTTCTGAAAGCTCTCCGAGTTGCAACAGGAGAGCCATATTAATTTGTGTTGCCATGTCATAATGATTTATCAGTCAAATCATCAAGGGATCACCTGTAGTATACAAAAAATAAAATTATTCAAATGTATAGTTATAATTAGAATTATCAAATAACAATGTGTCAGATATAAATGGCTCATCCTGTATAATGCTTTCTTTCAACAAAATACAATTTCACCCAGTTTTTATTAAATATAGATCACTAATGCTATTTGTTTGTGCTAATCACTTCTTTCATCAGACTTTTAATTCTGTAATTTGATTTTTAGCATGTTGATTTTAAGAAACTAAATATTATCTTAGGTTGATTAAAATATGATACCTCAGGAATTGCAGTTTAACAAGAAAATTTCATTGTAATTTATGCACAAATTACTAAGCGTATTAAAGAATTTTTTATTATATTTCAATGTTATTAAAGTTTTTTAGTGTAGTAACTTTTAATAATATTTTTAGTAAAATAATTAAAGTACAAAAGTTAAAAATCTTGGAAGGGATTACACCAACTTAAATTAGTGTAGGTATTACATATGTGTGTGAAAATATTATATGATTGTCCTTATTGCTCTTATGTCTTGGTTTTGGGATACTGACCAGTGAGATACATGTATTCCTAAGTAATCAACAATAAGGAAAACTTCAAAAGAGACTGATTTATAAATTTATATTTGAATAATTTGAATTATCTTGACCTACTGATAAGAACTTCTGAATGAAAGGAATATATAATACTATGGCAACCATGCTATATCTGCTATATACAGTACATTGACAAAACCTTTTCCCAGTATCGGGGTTCTTCAGACCAGCTGGGATGTGACAGACATAATAGTAATTGAGACACTATTTATACTAACAAAAAGCTTGAAAACAACTATTAAGTTGGTGAAGTGTAATTTTTCATCAATGTTGTTTATATAGCAACAAGTTGGAATTAGTGTAAGGACTTTTTAACACTATTTATTTATCTTAATGCTCTATGTTATTAATTTTTTATTTTTCTTATAATAGAAAAATTTAGTGGTCAAATAAGAATATAAAACCAACATAAAAGTTATTAAAAGAAAATATGCATAATTAGTGCCAGAATCTTGATAAAAATATTACAGAAGGGCCATGCATGTTAACTCTCTTGTTACGAGGTTTGTTGAATCAACTGACCTCGTAACCATTTTGCACTTGTATTATAGTTTCCATAATATAACTTTATAAACGTTGTGTATCTTCACCTAATTTGGCAGACTTTTAGTAAACATTATAACTCTTTTGCACACAAAAAGTCAGATTTTTTTAATGAAGTATTTTTACTAAAGATTTGTTCCTGAATATATATATAATATTTCTATATACTATTCTGATTGCAAAGTGATTTTCATGCTAAGATTAAAAATACTTTTCTTTGTCTCAAAAATTTCAAATTTTATTTGCATAATCTCTGAAACCTCCTAAATAAAGTTCAGTCATTTTTTTCAGTAAATCTTGATGTTTTATATGTTATTTTCTCTACTCTAACTTTATATAAGGTTGGTAAATTAGACTGACGATGTAACAACCAAAAAATAAAGTCTAAAATAGATTTATATTACACTTTTTTTTCTTTCTAGAATGACTGCAAATTTTAATATGAAACTATATTTGTTTGTCCTAAAAAGCTATAAACTCATAACAGTATACATCTACTTATGCTTAAATTTTATTGTTTTATTGTCCTTTGAACCCTGCCTTAACTATTATTCACACCATTATAAGTTGTAGATTAGTTGGTGAGTATGCAGCTCACGTTACACTATCGAATTACATTATGCACGAGCTGCTCATGAGGGTACTTCATGAAAACATTTTATTAAATTATTGTTATTTCTTTCACTTAATCTAACCTTAACAAACATAAGTTTTTTATTTTTACATTTTAGTTACTTTTATAATATTAAATAAAGGATACACATGAGAAACAAGAAAAGTGTATTTACCTGGGTCTACTTTTTCTTTTGCTGTTGACTGCCATTAACACTTAACCCTACTTTTTTATACTAATAGTAGTAGTACACTAAATAATTTTTTATTTAATTAAATAATGCACCAAGGAATACAGAAAAACATGCAAAAAGCAGAAAATATCCCATAACTCAATTTTTCTAGCTTTTTAACTATGTGACATGAGCTATTAAAACTTCATCTAAGCTCATTGATGTGTTTCCCATGAGAATCAAGCTTGAATGGAAAGTGAAATTGACAATTCTTGGTACAGAAAACAATGTAATATAATTTGTCATTTGATAGATGAAAACCTTGGCTTTGTATTGATTATAAATAATATAGTATTGAAAGTTAGAGAGAACTACTGGCAATTTGTGAAAGAGAGGATGTGACAGGTGGGCATGGCAAATGGGTTAATAGCCATCTGTAAAGTATGGATTGCGAAAGTCTCAGTAATACATAGGGTTTGTTCAGTAGCATTCAAGATAAGAAATTTAAAGTGTTCATTTTTGACAGGAGCATCACATTTGCTTTCTGTGTGTGTGTTGTAAGATGAGAATGTTGCATGTTAACTAGTTTGTCAGAGATACCTAATGATAGAGCATATCTAGCCTTTTGAATGTAAAAGATGGCTCTTGTAACAAAACAGAAAAAAGGTTTTGGGTAAAATAGAAGTTTGAATGTAATCGTTTGGATTAAATTATGCTTTAAGAATTTAGGAACAAAACTTTATTATAGATCTTCCTTATGAATGTGTCTAATATTGAAACCAGTCTCATTAAATTGAATGAAAGTGTTCAGAAATGCAAACATCAAATTCATTTTTTATCTTTGGAGTAAATTTTATGTTCTCATGCTGTTTATTAAGATATTTAAGAAAAATTTATATGATTGCATTTTACATATCCTTTATAATAAAAATGTTTAAATCCAGTTGAGCAATTATACTACCATTGTTATTCCAGTTTACCATAAAAATAGCCAGGCTAGGGTCTACCCCCCTTTTTTAAGGGACTGTTAATAAACCAAAGGGGTTGACCAAACCTTTTATTTGGAACTGCCATGATCTCCAGGGATCAGCCACTGCTGCCTATGAGGTGTTTTGGTACAATATCTGTTTTTTCCCACCTCTTTGTGCTGGGAGATGCTATGAGTGCCAGAGGCAGGCCATCCTCTAAATGAGCACCTGTATATCGTATGCTAAACATATTGGGGGCACTGCCCATATAACAGGTAATCAAAGACTATATTTCTCAAGACTATTCTGTGGTAAGCTGACAATCATCTTTATGATGATGAAGGCCTATTCGTTTTTTAACTTATACATGATTGGCTAGTTTTTTGTGGCCTAATTAGTTGTATTGCAGAATGGTCCATATAGGCATTAGATCTGATTTCTTACTTCATCACCATGTACTTGTCAACCTCATCTAAAATCAGGTGAAACTTTTCATTGGAGATTTTCATTATTTTGCAGGGCTTTTGACACATTACCCGTGATGATATTGAGCTTACCTTGGTCCAGGTCTCAGATCTCATTTTGAGTTTTTGCCTTAATGTTCATATGGAGGCTGATGTATTTCCTAGTAATACCACAGTCCATTGCTATGGCTTCAAAAGCTATTACCATAGGATGTTGCAATAATTGTAGTCAGTAGCCCCACTCTGACCACACTAGTATCAGTGCTAGCAGCAACCAGGGCTGCATCCACACTATTTTAGAGAGTAGCCCAGACACCTAATTCAAATTCAGTCTTCCCATAAAACTTACCAATTTTTTTTAGTCAAATGCTTTGTTGTTCTATCCTTGGTCACATTCCAGGCACATGTGCTAGTGCTAGGTTTAACATAGGTGTATTACTTTACTCTTCAGGTGGGACACTTGCCATTATGCACCTTGTATAGTATTTATAATTGGTTACCTCTTTATTCAAATTAGGAAGTGATGTGATGGAATTTAAGCTACTACAAAAAGTTGTTAAAGTCTAAAAATGAGGTGTAACCCAATTCCTCCATAGAATATTCTGTTGATAACCATAGGCCTTCAACCTCCAAGCATGTGATGTGCAATTGTGATTGTAACATTGTACACCCACTTAGATATGTTCATCCCACAAAATGTACTACTTGTTCATCATATAACCTGGGGAGGAATGATGTATTTAGCTTATGTATGAAAGGGCAGAGCTGTGAGTGAAAAGAGTTGCTGGGATACTTACTCTAAAATACATCTCCAAAGGCTGCAGAGAGAGAGAGGTACAGTCTCCTTAGTCATATGTATGCTATGGTATTGGTGTTATTGCTGATTATTAGTTCTGTAGGGTATGCGGAAGGATGAAGATACCTGAACGTTATGAATGATATGTTTGACCCTGTGAAGGGAGTAGG